TTCAGTAGGTGAGAATACCTGCTGAAAAATAACCAGCAGTTCCACCTGAGTTCTGATCACCTGGTCCTCAGGAACTATTGAACGCAGCTGTGTTTTAGCACAGGTGACAGTGATCAGCTCCGGCTGGGAGGAGATAAAAGCAGCAGCTCTCTGGTCACGCTTCTTCAGACGGTTTGGTGTTGCTGTGTGTTTGTGTGTCTGAGTGGGTTTTTTTTTAATTATTTGTTTTAGGGGGAAAAACTTTTGTGTTTTAAATTGTTCCAGCCTCGCTCAGCCCAGTATCATTTCTGCAGATTTTACGTCACAAACTTTGTTGTTGGCACTGGTCCGTGTCGGCCACAGTCGGTTTCTGTTGTCTGTCGTCTGCACAAATTCAAGAGTTTCACCCAAACAAAGAAACCAAAGAAACAGGAACTGTTTGTGAACATTTGTTCCCTGTTCCTGTAAAAGACATTGAACCTAATGATCCTAAGACAGAGGTTTAAGAGTTAGAGCTAAAAACATATCCTCTAAAATAACGGGGTAGTTGTTGGTTTAGTAATCGTGGCCTGTCAGAGATTGTTTTTCCATATTTGTTTCTACAGGATTGTCAGTGTTTATTGCGTCTTTTTTTTCTTCTGCACTAAAAGCCACTTTCTGCTCTTTGGACCTTTGCTGTTCTGCTCACAGCTGCCACCAAGTGATGGATGGCAGACGTCTAATCAGCACAGCCGGCTAGCAGCACTTAATGACTTTTAACAGCCAAACACGGCTGCGCTCCTTGGAACGTTGGCTCTAAAGGAGCAGTGCTGCCATTTCATTGATGATTTACTTTCTTTTTCACAATGAACACAACGTAGAGACGCTGAACGTGTGCACGAGTTTAGAAAAAAAATAAAAAGTTGTGATTCTGATTTAATGTGACAGTTACCTCAACATGGCCCCTCACATTCCATCAGAAAACTTCTCCAGCAGCACTTCCTGGTCCTGCTCTCACATGTTCCATCCTAGCAGACTTTTCACTGTTCCAGTGCTACAGTGTCACTTAGTGGCCACGTCATGTTCTGCAGGTGGACATGAAAACGCTGTGTTTCCTCTACACTCTTCATTTTTGTGAATTTTAGTGAGAGAAAACATGAGAATTACTAGAAGTGTGTCAGTCCTTTTTTTTTGTACTAATTTACTTGGTAACTAGACAGAGCAGTGATGAAGTCTATGCAATTAACACCAAGATGGATTATAAATGTAGACATTTATTATCCTAAAATAAAGAATATTTGCATGTTGTCTGCACTCTTGGCTTCAGAACAGATGAATGTGGCAGTTTGTCTTGTTGACTTTTCTCAGTGTGTTTGTTCAAATGCCTGGCTCTCAGTCCCAGCTTTGAACCAGTTCAATCTTTGGCCATAGTAACAGACTGTGGCGGAGCAGGGAAATGTCAATGTTTGGGTGGAGTCGTGTTTGCCAGACTTGTTATTCTTGCTTATTGTTCTGGTTTATTCTTCAGTTTTTTTTAATTGGCTTTAATATAAAACTATGTGACGGGGAAACAAACGCCACCACTGGGACTGACTGCAGGTCAGTTTTTAAAGCTGAACCTTCTTTATCTCTCTCTTTAGCTGTGTCACCTGTTTGGATGTCATGTCAGTGTGTGTTCGTTAGTGGAGGATGTGTTGACACTTTAGCTACAGATCAAAACCTGTAACTTTCTACCCAGCTCAGTGTAGCTAGTCCAACGTGAGGACACAACTGTTTTACGTCCCGGTCCACGTGACCGTTGATACTAATTGACAGGAACCACCGTCACCGTGAAGTCAAATCAGCTTCTGGTTTCGGTGAGGGGGGAAAATGCAAATCAATGTAATTATCTACAAATATTTACACTGTACTTCAAATTGAAGTTGAGACTAAAACGGCAGCACGATCACCTGGGAACACAACAAAACAAGGAATTAAAAAAAACTTCTTCAGTCACATGAGCTTCTACCAAAACAAAGACTTGTCTTCATGCTGCCCTGACCAAGAACTCTGCTTCTATTTTTCCTCACTGCACAAACAGACAGGCGGTGACAGACGTCTCTATAAATAAAACTCCATCAGTCAGTCTTTCACCGACACCTGTGGCTCCACGTGTTTGTTCAGCTTTTGTCTGTCTGTCAACAGAGCATTCTTTTATTGATGTTCACTGACAATTATTTGTAAACGTGACTGCGTCCAACGGACTGGACGAACAACTCAGTCACACAGTTTGATTGTGGCGTTCGCTAAAGAACAAACTGAATCCAAAAAGTTTGTGGTTCAAGAGTTAGCATCGGACGTGCACTACGACCTTTCAGGGTTTCATAGTAAATACAGAGTCGATACAGAACAAATACAAGAACCTATTCTGTCAGGATGAGTGTGTGAGGATCCCTGGCCGAGGTTCTGTGGGTTTGGTGTCAACATTTGGACACCTGACAAACGCCACTCTTCGTGGTTGTCTGCTGTATCTTTAAATCCTCATCTTGGTTTAGACAAACTGACCCTGCACAACGTCTCACACTTCGCTCACAACCCTCTCTGTCTCTCTGATCCTGCAGGTGAGAAACCCTACCGCTGCACGTGGGAGAACTGCGACTGGCGCTTCGCCCGGTCAGACGAGCTCACCCGACACTACCGCAAACACACCGGTGCCAAACCCTTCAAGTGCGTCGCCTGTAGTCGCTGCTTCTCCCGCTCCGATCACCTGGCACTGCACATGAAGCGCCACCAGAACTAACGGAGTTACACACACACACACACACACACACACGCATTGACAATTAGACCAGCAGCATCGAGTTATAACAGACAAAGAACCAAAGTCATCTCTGCTCCCTTGTGTTACACACTAATACACTGTTGACTGAGATCAGGTTATTGAAGTAGAACTAACATCTACTGTGTGTAAAAGTATGGTGGCCTGAAGACTTCACCTGGTAGTAGTAGTAGTAGTAATAGTAATACTGGTAGTAATACTACTGACGGCTGCGTCTACTTCCTGTTCA